CTTTAGAATGGATTGAAGACGTTTGGCAGCAGCCATGCACCAGGTTACATTATCCATTACAGTGATGTTCCCATTTCCTGTTTAAGCAGTAAGTCTTCAGGGACACTGGCTTACTAACTGGTATTCATAAAGCTTTTCATTACTCAGCACCAGAGATAGAAATAAACGTGACACCTCACTGGGGTAGCAAGCTGGAAACCAAGCCCGACTATTTCCAGAGCTTTCACAGAAGTTAAAGATTTCATCAAAGTGTGCAAAATTCCTCAATTTACCTGTCTTTTAAGACCAAGGTTAACAGAAAGCGTAGACCCAGTTTCTATAATTAACAAAAATTATTATTTATTTCATTTATTTATCCCTATTTACTTATTTGTTTACCTATAGGTAAACAATCATGAGTGGCCAATATATGACACTACTAGTTAAATCTAACCCCGCTTCTGAAACTCCTCCACACATATATACATACAGATACAGACAGCGTTAGTGTCATGGGCAGATGGAAAGACTGGAAAGGCCATTCAATATTCTCTGTCTTCATAGTTTACTAAGATGAACCATTTGGCTTTGTCAGAACTTGCTTTTTGACAATCTCTCTCTTCTCCAGATACATTTGCTTTTTTGTAGGAGGCACAGAGCTTATAATGTAGCTGATTTATTGGGTAATAGCAACAGCTTGCCGCAACTACTGAGGAAAAATAAACTGGCTTTCTTGAGGATTTAGAGAGGCCTTTGTCATTTACAACTGCTCACAAGTCCACAGACCAGTCAGCTATTTGTTGCCAGTCAAACCCCCTTTTGTATAGATCCCTTCATTCCAGTTCTTCTGCAACTAAACTTGCCTCACTGGTGAAACAAACAACGATGTAAACAGTACTTACAATGATCCTTTGTAGCCTGGTAAATTTGAGTACAGGATGGAGTTTATTTAACTGTGAGAAGAAATTCTTTGATACAACTGTGGATTCAAATATCACAAACATTTTCTATCTTTCTGCATCTATTATCATTTATTACGATCTCAAAGAATGCCTGAGACCCATTGGAATCAGGTGATGGATATACTAATCAAGGGTAAATTGAATGTGAATTGGTTATATAAAATGGGGAGCTAGTAATCAGTGGTATGTGAGTTTCACAGAGTGTGGTTAACTGAAATTAAATTCTCGCTATAAGTGTGGACTTGGATTGTTTATGTACAGTTATCTTCTAATAGAATAGAACAGAATCCCTACAGTGTGGAAACAGGTGATTCGGCCTATCAAGTTCACACTGACCCTCAAAAGAGCATCCTACCCAATCCCTGTAACCCTGCATTCTCCACAGCTAACCTACCTATCCTGCACATCCCCTGGACACTATGGGCAATTTGGTATGGCCAGTCCCCCTAACCTGCACATCTTAGGACAGTGGGAGGAAACTGGAGCTCCCAGAGGAAACCCACACAGACACGGGGAGAATGTACAAACTCCGCACAGTCACCCAAGGGTAGAATTGAACTCGGGTCCTTGGCGCTGTGAGGCAGCAGCGCTAACCACCGAGCCACTGTGCCACCATGTATAACATCATTTACATATCAGAAATATGCAAAGGATAGATTTGCTTCTTGTGGTAACCAGTGAAGAAGTTAGCAAGATTGGGCCTCGAGGGATTCTATCCATTTTGACATAAATGGCACTGTTGAAATGGAACTCAACTGCACATGTCGCTAAGTCCATAAGTTTGATGAACTGATTCAGAAATGGGTGACACACCTAGATTGCTATAATGTAATGATGTTGTGCAAATGCCAGTGATTTGTTTGAGTAGTATTTGATAAATTTGCTAGAAATGTCAAAAGAGCATATGGACATGCTTTGACTCTCAAGATGTCAGTCTTGCATGGTCTCCACAAAAATGAAGGAGTCCTTCAGTGTATGTGCAAACCTCAGTGAGCCGTGAAGGCAGATCTTACGCAGGCCAATTACCACCCTGGTACAACTCCAACAAGGGAGTTAAAGGCTGTACACAGTTTGAAATTGGTGGCTTCAGAGTAGCTCTTCTGTCAAGATTTCTGTTCTGTTGGAAGCGTCCTTTTGTACAGGTTTTACTATAATAGCTTTAATCTGTAAAGTAACACTTTTCTATCCAGTAAACTTGATCTGAAGCAAAGCAGAGCATATTTGTGCACTCCACTCCAGAGTCAAAATGAGCTCTGCTTCAATGTTTAGTGTACTTGAAAACTTTATTAATAGAACAATACGCAGCCACTTTAGAATATGGTTGCATTCATAGTGTACATCTAGTCTCTACAAATTGTGGTACTGATCAAAAACATTGTTTCTGAACTCCGATTGACTGAGTGTATAAATTGGGAACTCGGATAGGCTCCTTTGAAGAATGATGCTTGCAGCTGGTCTTGCTGCCTTCCAAGCACAGTATTGTGCTTTTTACGGTCTCAGTTGGACTAGCCTTTTCTAGGGAAACTGTTTTTAATACTTCATATGATAAAACCTGCAGGAGTATTACATTGACATTTGCGGCAATGGTAAGTTGTGAATGGTTTAATGGTAATTATTTTGCAACAATGATTGGGATTTGCTCGGGACCAAAATCAGACGAGAAATACCAGAAGGTGACCTTTATTTAAATTTCATTTATGGATTTTCAGACTCTCTTCAAGGAAAGGAGTCACAGCGTGAACACAAACAATTAAAGTGACCTATGTTGTGTTTCACTGATGAAGCAATGTACTTTCTCCTCCACAAATTGATAACAAATAGCCACAAATATCCAAATAGAGAACATTTGTAAATAACTTAATTAAAGCTGTAATACATTTTGAACCGAGATGTCCATGATTTTTTAATTTAGATTTAAATCCTCATTTCTCGTTCAAAGATTTCAGAATTTAATTGTACACCTTAAAGTAAACCAGGCAGTTGCTTGTGACAGTCAAAAATGTAGAATACACTTTAGTCATAGAAGGGTAAGACTTCAACACTAAAGATGTTCTTATTACCTTGATTGCTGGTGAGGACAAGTACATTAAATGAAGTTTTCCAAGTATACCCATGTGAAATTCTTTGAGAGAGATCACAAAGAAAGAACAAAGATCAGTACAGAACAGGAACAGGCCCTTCGGCCTACCAAGCGTGTGGTGACACATGACACCTTTCTAAACTAAAATCTTTTGCCTCTACGTAGTCCATTTGCCTCTATTCCCTGCCTATTCATGTATCTCTCAAGATGCCTCGTAAACGTTGCTATCGTATCTGCTTCTACCACTTCATCTGGCAGCACATTCCAGGCACTTACCACCCTCTGTGTTTTAAAAAAGAAACTTGCCTCTCACCTTAGTTACCATTGCCTTTGTCTTGTTGTTGGAATTTGTCAGGTGATGCTGCCTATTCTTGACTGTCAAGTTCAATGAACAACCTATTTTAGATAATGAATAGTCTGGGTTTCTGGATGACAATTAACTTGAATCTGTTGACTTAATCATAGACTTTGACTGCATAGAAGATTAACAAAAGGGAAAATGGCAGTGTGTCTAAAATGAGCATCCAAAGCTAATCTCATTGCCCGTCACCTTCTCATAGTCCTGTATCTTCACCACTTTTCGCCTGGAGCTACAGTAATTAAAAAGTGGGATTCAGTATTTAAAAGCATATTGTATATAACTGCTTGATTGTTCACATCAGTTTGATGTTCTCTCAAAAAAATGAAAGAACTGCGGATGCTGTAAACCAGGAAACAAAACAGAAGTTGCAGGAAAAGCTCAGCAGGTCTGGCAGCATCTGTGAAGGAAAAAACAGAGCTAACATTTTGGGTCCGGTGACACTTCCTCAGACACTTCACAGATGCTGCCAGACCTGCTGAGCTTTTCCTGCAACTTCTGTGATGTTCTGTTTAGTATGGGATGAATTCAAGGATTCCTGTGACAATAAAATCATTCAAAAGCCCAGGGTGCATGGACTCAAAACTGTTAAATCTGTAATTATTCCATAACTTTTGTTGGCACCTTTCAGAAAATGGGAAATTGAAACGGGACTAATGGTAAAACATTACAGTACCTCACAGTGAGACCGTGGCACTCCGTAAAGCTTTGGTTTACAGGCCAACACTGAAATCAGTGGAACTAAATATTTGGTTTTAAACCAAAAGTGTACCACAAGCAGCATTAAGTTTATCTATGGAACAGCTGAAAAATAAGTTGATGATTATTGAGGAGTGGTGTGAAACTATCACTATTTAATGCTTACCTAAGCATTTGAGTAAGCACAATCAAAAGAAAACACAAGCAAGCATTAAATTCAAGAGGTAAAGGTAAAGTTGCCATAGTCTCAGGGACCATAGGACTGACTTTTCATTAGAGATAGAGACATGGCTGGTGGTGGGTTCAATCTGAGGATCACCACACTTCAGGTGAGGAGAGAGGTTAAAGAGGTGGGGACCGTCATGCTAACCTCAGCTGATGCAGGAATTGAACCCGCACTGTTGGCATCAGTCCATATCACAAACTAATTGCTCAGCCAACTGAGCTAACTGACACCCAGTAAAGTCAAGAACCTAGACCGGAAATAATAAGGTGTGCATAAAGGAGGGCAAACTGGATATGCAAGACTGAAAGGGAAATACCTGTTCGAAACAGAACATGTAGAGATTTAAGAGCTGTTTACAGTAGATTGCCTACACCAATGTGGTTTTATTGTGATCTTCCAAAACCTTTTGTTCAGGAATTATCCCCTTTGAACAATCACAATTTATTCTCCGGCATTGAAAACTTTGGTGTGCCATACCCTAGTGGTGTCTGGCTTAATGCCCTGTTCCCTTGCTTGATTTTGATTTATTTTTAAAAATATAGGTGTAAATGTATTTATCACCTGCATCATAACAAATAGGCAACTTTACTTAGCCACAAATTTACATATAAGATACAGATAGATATTATATTACAGTACTATGTCCTGTTTAAAGCAAAGTTAAAACCTTCTTCTATTCCTATTTTCTTCTTTCAGTGCTAGAAAATGAGCTTCCATACTTTGATGATGATGATCAAGACGAAGGCAAAGTATTTGATTTTGACAGTGATGAGATACCAGAAGCAGACAGAGAGCCCAGCTCTGCCCCTGTACCTGTGGTTATGAATGAAGTGGAACATGGCACCACACAAGCCTCAAAACAGGATGATGTAACTTTGGATATGGCTACTGACAACCATGGATATTACGAAATATCAGAAACAAATAATTTGTCCCCACATAGAAAGGATTTCGATCAAGACCCTAAAGCAGTGGCACGAGGTATTAGTGTTACAGAGGGGTTATGTGAATCACAGATGTTAACAATGATTTATTTATGTCAAAATATACTACAATTGTTTAAAGTTTCAGTTAGACCCTGTTATGACTCACTGGAATAGTACACGACAAATTGAGCCCTGCTTTCCTGAAGTCGTACCAAATATGAGTTTTTTTTTAGGTTTGGGCATAGTACCTCAATTTACCTGACTTTTAAACCAAGGATGATAACAGGCCCAGACCAGGCTTCTGTACTGACTAGAAGTATTTTTTATTGGAAGCAATTAGACTACAGTTACGATAAAACAGATATAGACCGTTGGCATATAGTGCTACTAAAACACACCTACACACATATTGGTAGAGGTAAAGAAAAACTAGAAAGTCAGTTCAGTGGTGTTGACTTCCCAGTTCAGATGTTGAGAAGATCCTCTGTAGCTTTCCAGGGCCTGGGTGTTCAGTTGTCTTTCTCTAGAAACTTCTGTTGGTCTGTAAGAAGTAGAGCTTCTGATTCACTTGGAAAATGTCCCTATTTATTAATTCTCGTGTAACAGCTCACAATGACTTCTGCAGGAAAGGTAGTTGGTTTTCTTCAAGTTTAAACTGAGTTTTTTTTTTAACTGCAGAGAATAGGTAGCTCCTTCTGTTAGGAACAACATCACCCCCTTCTATGTACCAGCCACCTGGATTGGTATTGAAGGCTGCCCATGATTTACTTGACTTTACTAGGGCCCACTGGCAACTATGACAAGTTTCCTGACTTTGAGTCTGTGCAGCAAGTCAATGCAGAAGTAAGATGAGGCAAGGCATTGTATTGCAGGAATGCTATGAACATCTAGGTAGGCTCAGTAAGTGAGAATGCTGTGACAGCTAATTCATAGCCTGGAGGTGCAGAATGGTCCAAATCATGGACTGGGTGCATGCCCCTCACTGCTTACTATCCTTGTAGCAGCATTAGAATGATAATGGCCAGTGCAGCATTGAAGTGTAGAAGCATTCCATAAATGGACCAGAGATGGGTAATGAGGGTTCTTAGAGGCTGGCATATTTTGGATGTCAATGTTTGTGGATTTGGGGTGATAGTGGTCTGTAATCATGCTGCACACCTTGAGTTGTTTGTTCCCAATGTCCAACATAGAGGTCCTTAACAGCCAGCAGCAAATTTCAAGAATTCTAATCAAAAGAAAAAGTTAGGAGAAAATAACTTGGAGAAATCAAAATGACCTGAGTTAATGGATGATAGAAACACATTTTTAAATATATGATTGCCTTTGCAGAAAACGGTACTGCTGCCAATTTGCTACATACATCAACACAAGCCACAGCACTTGCAAAAGTGAATCCATATTCGGTTATAGATATCTCACCAATCCAGGAAGGCGATGAAGTTGAATCATCAGGAGCAGAACAAAGCCTCCAGGACAATAAGGCAACTGGTCATGCACTTCCTGCTGGATATTGTATTCCAGTTCCCTGCGGATATGCTGTACCATCCAATGTGCCATTGTTGGTTCCTACATATTCAGCACCTGTTACTTTAATAAGAAATAATTCTGTTGATGAGGAAGGTGAGGAGTCTGCATTGTAAAAATGGAAATTGGCAATAAGATTCATTAACTGTAAATAATTATTTTTTCTGTATATGTTTTCTTTAAGGGCTAAGCCATTTTTTGAAAGAGGCAAAAGTCATTATTTTCAATTAGCCTGCCCAACTTCTTTTTCGGCTCAAATAACTAACTCACCAGATCCCTTAGCTTCTCCTTTCTGTAATTATCTTCTGAACCCATATACAAAGATACATAAAGGTTACATACATCAACTAAGATAGCTTGGACATATTGCAAACCATTCAGCTGAATTTGATTGTGAGAGGAAATCTCCATTGCAATCGTCTGAATCTTAAGAGCAACTCACATAGAATCAATATTTTTTTTGGCTTCTTCAGATTATTTTTATATGATCTAACGTGTATTTCATATCTCAATACAAATTGTACAAGATATGTATGTGGGAGGAAGGGAAAGAAGGAGGGAGAAAATGTGAGGAAAAACACTCTTGAAAAGATGCAAGTTTGTTAAAAGTGGCAATCTTTTTTATTCTGAGCACTGTTAATTTGAAGCTAATAAATAGATTAGTTGGTATTCAGTATCTCACCAGTACTAGTTTGAAGATTTTTTTGAAAATAATGTTATTATATCTTGTACATTCACAGTGCCGTTTACAAGTGAGGATGTTGATGCTAGAATTATTCAGTCAAACAGTCAACCAGCTGGGTAAGTTTATCCTCATTTTAGATTAATATTTAAATAATTTGGAACTGCTACAGTTTTAAAAGGGAAGATTTTCTTTTTTTTTTCAAACTCCTCATTGTCTCATTGCCTTACTCCAGAATTAATCAGGCTATTTTCCTTGCACTATTGTACTATTTTGTAGCCAGTGGTTTTCATTCTTTCAAAGGTTAATTATTATTCAGGCTGGAGATTGGAACCATTATTTTGATTGTGTAAAGATCTATTAGAACATTCTGGTTCCAGTGCGCCGTGTCCCTACACACATTTGTTTCCATGATCCAATGCCTCAATATTAAAATTCTCATTCTTCTTTTCCAATTGCTCTATGTTCTAGCCCCTCCCTTTTTTTTTAACCCTACTCCTTCCAATTTATCTGCACTCTAATAATTCTGGTCTCTTGTGATCCTCAGTTTTACTGGCTCCATTACTGAGGCTTTAAGATCTCAAATCCTAAACCTCTCTACCTCGCTATATCGCATTTTTCCTCTCTGAAGCTACTTTAAATTCTTTGACTATGCTTTTGATTGTCTGTTTTAATATCTCCTTTGGTGGCTAAGGGTCAAATTTTGTTTGATAACATTCCTGTGAAGTACCTTGCAATATTTACATCATTTAAAGGCACTATATAACTGTAACTTGTTAGACTTTCCAAATGATTTCCTGGTATTTTTGTTTGTCTGACAGACTTGATGCATGTTTGTGTTACACAGGGTCTGATGTCAGAAATGTGGTGACTAAGTTGTGCATGATATGCAATAATTTTTTAAAAGTATATTGCTGCACATGTCAATAGATTTTTAATTTTGTCCTTTGTGGGATCGAGACATTACTGATGCTGTCAGCATTTTGTTGCCCATCCCTATTTATTAACTGAGTGGTTTGTTAAGCCGTTTCATACTGTTAAAATTCAACCACGATCCTGCAAGTCTGGAGCCATATATAGGCTAGACCAGGTGGGAATAGCAGATTCCCTCTTGTAAAGAAATATTAGTGAATTCAGAGGTTTCCCATTTATTAAATGAAATTATGTTCCACCAGATGCCATATATGGATTTGAACCCATTTTCCCAAAGCATTAGCCTGGCCACTGAATTATTGGTCCAGTGACATGACAACTGCCCCACTGTCTGCCTATAAATTACAGACTATGGCATTGCTTTCCTTAAAAAAACATTGGGATGAACTCTCTCAGATATATCTAAGATTTCTGTTGAAATTGTGGTATCATCAACTGCATCATTGCTGCTGTTTAATTGGGGATACAGAATGAATTTTTTTTTTGTGTCCTGTCACCTCACCTGCATGAATTGTTTGTTACACGTCCATCATTTCTTTTAGATGGAAAAATGTCAGCAATTATTTCTTTCTTATTAATTCTTTATTTCCCTTTTGCTTCCCTGTATCTGACAGACAGAAGTGTCAGTATGTTTCTCTACTGATGTGCTGAATTTTCATTTTGGGTGACCAGACAGGCCCTTAGCTTTCCATAAAATTACTCCTTTTTCTGTTTTGTTGCACATCCTGCAAATCCGTTAATGTTTCATATTATTCAATCATGGAATCATTAAAGTACCAAAGAAGCCATTCGACCCATCAGGTCTATACTGGCTCCGAAAAGAACTACCCATGTAATCCCGTTCTCTAGCCCTATCTCCGTAGCCTTCTAAATTAATTACTTTCAAATATATATCCAGCTCTGTTTTTAAAAACTCCTATAGAATCCTTCTCCACAACACTCCCAGGCTGCGCATTCCCAACAACACTCTTGGTACAGAAATTTCTCCTAATCTCACCCCTAGCTCTCTTACTACCAGTTTGGAAGTTGGGACCCCTATGTTACTGACATACCAACTAGTGGAAACAGAACATCTTTCTTTACCCGGTCAAAATTGTTCATAATTTTCAACACCTCAATAAGGTCACTCTTAAGGTCTGTTCCAAGGAGAAATAGCCTAATTTCTCTAATTCTTTCTTGTATCTAAAATCCCTCATTTCTGATGTCATTCAAGTAAATCTCATCTGCAGTCTCTACAGGGCTTTAACATCCTTTCTTAAATAAGGTGCCCAGAAATGAACACAATACGCCAAACGTGGTCTGACCAACGATTTGTAGAGGTGTGGCATCACTTTCTTGCTTTTATACTCCACTCTATGCCTCTATTTATAAACCCAAGGATCCTGTAAGCCTTCATAACAACCAATTCAACTGGCCTGGCCACCTTCAGAGAATTATGCACCTGAACCCTGAGGTCCCTCTCCTCCTATACTCCCCTCAAATTGTGCCATTGAGCCTGTATTGTCTTTCCTTGTTCCTTCTTCAAAATGCATTACTTCATATTTCTCTGCATTGAAATTCATCTGCCAGGTATCTGCCCATTTGGAGAACTTGTCAAAGTCCCTCTGAGGTTGCTCAGCATCATCCACACAATTCTCTCTTGCTTAGTATCATCAGAAAATTTAGAGATTTTTACACTCAACATCCATCTCCAAATTGTTTATGTAAATCCGAAAAAGCAAGGACCGTACACCAATCCCTCAGGAACACCACTTTCAACTCGTCTCCAGTCTGAGAAATGCTCATCTATACCTACTTTCTGTTTCCTATCTTTTGGCCAGCTTCTAATCCATGCTGCTAATTCCAAACATTTCTAATTTGCTTTCCAACTTGCCATGGTGCACCATGTCAAATGCTTTCTGAAAGTCCAAATATACAACATGCTGAGCACTACCCTCATCCACTGCCTGGGTCACCTCATCAAAGAACTCAATTAAATTTGTTAGATATGACCTGTCCTTGACAAACTGTGTTGACTGTCTGGTATTAACGTATTTTTCTCTAGGTGAATATTTATTTTCTTCTGCATTGTGGCCTTCAAGCTGACATCAAATGGAAGATCAAAAGCTAGATTTGTAACAACTCTGATTTTTGAACTTATTGCAGGTTGTAAATACTTATGCGAAGTAACAAATTGAAATGATCAGAAGTGTTGGATGGCTGTGCTTCACGGATTTGATGTTAAATAGTTTTGCATGCTGGGTCTTTACATTATAGTGCACATTTTGGTGAAAGTCCAATATTTTATTGCTTGCGTTTCAGACATCTCCTAACTTTGGTTCTCTCCAATCACACGAAAAATGAAGAGTAGGGGATGTGTTGACTATCTGTCTCTTGTTTCTTTGTGGCAATGTAGTCACTAAAAATACAAATTATCTTAATTTTTTTATCATTTAATTTTATTACAGTGAAGATTACCTTGCTTTGGACACAGAAGATGCATTTACCAAATGGGCTTCAGATCCAGCAAATACAGCATGGCTGGAGGGTATGTATCAATGATGTAAAGAATGTATGAGTGCAACACCATAACCTTCAACTTGTCGCTTGTGTATAAATATGAAACCTTTGGATTGTGAATTGTAAGCAAAATGTCAAACCTGCTCCTTCTGAAAACACTTCTGACTTTGGAAAGATTCGGAAAAAGTATTGAGCAATGCGCAGCAAGGAAGCTTATGGTACATAGTTGAGTATGCTGAGATGCAGCAGTAAAGCCACTGGATGTGAATTCTAATTAAGTGAAGCTAATATGCTAATTAATGAGGTTCCAGAGTGAATTGTAGTTGTTCATGGGAAATGGGTGTTGCTGGCTAGGCAAACATTTATTGCCCTTCCCTAATTATTGTGGTGAACTGGTGCAGCTCCTGGCATGTACGTGCACCCACGGTGTTATTAGTGGTAGAAGTCCAAGATTTTGATACATTGCTGTTTCTTCACTGTCACGGTATTTCCAAGTAAGAGTGGTGAGTGGCTTGGAGGGAAACCTGCAGTACGTCGTGTTTCCATGTATCTGTTACCCTTGACTTTTCAGGTTGCAGAGTGTATTGGTTCAAAAGGTTCGTTTGAAGGAGCCTTAGTGCATCTTGTCAAGATGTATCAATAGTGAGGGGAATGAATGCTAAAAATAATGGATGCAATACCAGTTATTCAGGCGCTTTGACCTGGATGGTGTCAAGCTTCTTGAATGTTGTTGGAGCTTCACACATCCAGGCAAGTGCAGCATATTCCGTCAAACTCCTGACTTGTACCCTGTAGATGGTGGATGGGCAATGAGGATTTAGGAGGCTAGTTATGTGCTGCATTTTGCCTGTACTGGCTTGTGAAACAGCTACCCAGCTCGTCCCATTCTCCTGTCCTATCTCTGAAATTCATCACTTTCAAATATATATCCAGCTCTCTTTTGAAACGTCCTATGGAATGCACCTCCATCACTCTCCCAGGCAGCACATTCCAAATCCTAACAACTCTGAGTAAAGAAGTTTCTCCTAATCTCATTCCTAGCTCTCTGGCTGACAGTGTTGAAATTCTAACCACTGGTTACTGAGATACCAACTGGTGGAAAAAGAATATCCTTCTTTACCCTGTCAAAATTGTTCATAATAAGGTCACCTCTTAATCTTCTGTGTTTCAAGGAGACTAAGCCCAATTTCTCTACTCCTTCATTCCTGGTATCATTCCAGTAAATCTCCTTTGTACTCTGTCTTCAAGGCTTTAACACCCTTCCTTAAATAAGGTGCCCAGAACTGAACACAGTATTCTCCAAATGTGATTTCACCAATGATTTATAGAGATGTGGCATCACATCCTTGCTTTTATACTCTATGCCTCTATTTGTAAACCCAAAAATTCTATAAGCCTTCTTAACAATTGTTTTAACTTGCCTGGCCACCTCCAGAGAATTGTGCATGTGAAGATAAAATCCCTCTGCTCCTGTACTCGTCTCAAAGTTGTACCATTACGCCTGTACTGTCTCTCCCTGTCTCTTCTACCAAATAATCATATTCATATTTATTTTAAAACTTTTTTTTAGATTCATGTCTTTTCTTTTTACTGAAGTTCTTTATTACTGGTACTTTCTTCCATCCATAAGTAATGTTTTTTTTGTTGTTGTTAAAATCATACAGAACAGAAAGTTAGCATTTGGCAATCCAATTTGTACTGTTCTCCTGCTCCTTACCCTACATGTACATTTTTGCTTTTTCACTTGCCTTTTAAAAGTTATCTTCCTTCATCCACCCTTTCAGTCTGAGCATTTCAGATGTTATTAACTTATTGGTGTTCTTTCTTCAGTATTTCAATCTATTCCAATTATCTTCTGCATTACAATAATTGCTACACATTGCCACAGCCTAGTCTACCTTCACCAAGTGCTGAATGTTTCAAATTTTCTTGTATCAGAAATTTGTATAAGCATCACTACTACCCCTTGTTCAAGCTGTCCCTAGTTTAAAATGTCACAGTGAATGCTATTGCCCACATTCTCACTCACATAACCACCATCTCACATGCTTTCTACCGAACAAGAAATACTCTGGTTGGATTAGGCAATAAGAATAATGGTGAGTCCATATGCTCCTGCTGTTAAAGTGTAAATTGGACCGACTCCCATTAACTGTAGCCACGCAGTTATTTGTAGAAATCAGGAAGTTGCTGTCTGAGTTCCCTTGCTCACCCAGAGGCCCCACTGAAACAGTATTTTACACTGTTTTGCATGGAACAACTCTAAGCTGCACTATTTATTCAGTATATAGTTACTAAAGTCAAACAAATTGAGGACTTGTCTATTCCACTATAATTAAATTCTTACCTGTAAGAATTGATGCCAAATAAGCATTCTGGCTCTGAAAAAAACAACTTTTAAAAGTGCTGGAACTCTGTCCTTCAGAATCTAGTTATTTTAGAATTAATGTTTTAAACTTTATTTCCATTTCTTTTACCTCCCTCTCTCAATTCAACTTTCTTTCCCTCTCTTTAAGATAATGTACAATATATCTAAGTAATTTCTGTCATGCCTCACAGGTCAGGATGAAGTAATTTATGATGATGTGCCAAGAGAAAATTCTGATGCGTCAGCAACAGGTAAATGCTGGCTAATGCACACATGTTTTTGCGATGACCATTTTGTCTTTGGTACAATCCACATTTATGTTATCGAAGAACATTCTCTTCAGAGTAGCATTGTGTGCTGAAGTGGCAAACAAAAATCTATTGTAATTAGCACAATGTAAAATAATATACATTATGAAAATAATATTAAGCTTCAGTTATTAATGTAGTTTCCTCATTATATGGTACAATGTTGTCTGAAGAATTGATATGTGCATTCACTGTAAATATAGAAATCGTCTTCGATACGTACCTACCTTTAGTACTATCAATGTCAATTTTTGCATCTTCCATTGTTATGAAAATAAGTTTTCTCTTAATAATCCCATCACACAATTAGAAACAAGGTTTGAAATGACAGTCAAGTAAATGCCTGTTATTGGTCCCTTGTCACCAGATCCAGAAGAACTCATTTATGATGATGTAGAACATGGAGATGAGGCTGCGACAAGTTCTTTGGATTATGGTTGGAGCTCCAGTGAGTTTGAGAGCTATGAAGAGCAAAGTGATGGCGAGGCTAAAAGTGAAAATGGAATTCCCAACTCATTCCTCCAAGGCAAATCTCACAAGAACAAGATACATGTATGTACTACGTGTGCACAAAATGACCATCATTTTAAGGTTTGAATCCATACAGAGGAAGGAAGCACTAAATGGAAAAACCTGTTAAAGAATACGCTCATTTTGTTTGGAAGTAAATAGCTTTAGAGAGAAGTTAATATTTTTTGTGCTTGAATGGCCACCTGTTTCAGCCACTCAGTGACTGATTTGGGAATTGTATATGCTCGACACAACAAAGGATAGTGAGCTCAAACAGCTTGAGTACTACTGGAGATCTGGCATTCCCTGGAATCCAAGCTGTTGACCAGGAAACCTGCTGGCAGCAGTGGTGTTTGTAAGGATTGAGGAGGCTTTAAATTTGATAAGATCACTAATTTCAGATAACAATGTATCAGTGGTAATGTCCCTACCTTTTGAGCCAGAATACCCAGGTCCTACCTAAACCGGAGCTAGATCGTAACACATCTGAACAGATTGTTTAAAATCTCTATTATGTTGTATCTAATTGTTTCTCTTCATTACATAACACCTTCTCGAGTTCTGTGCCTGAAATAGTGCCACCATCTCTACCATGAACAGATCAAGGTCAGGACCCTGAGTCTGAGTTGCAGTAGCAGTGTGGACTTGTACTTCCACGGTGTATTCTCAAGATGTGGTCAATGGTGGGTTAGCCTCAGAGATAGCAAGAACTGCAGGTGCTGGAGTCAGAGATAACACAGTGTGGAGATGGAGGAACGCAGCAGGCCAGGCAGCATCAGAGGAGCAGGAAAGTTGACGTTTTGGGTTGGGACTCTTCTTCAGAAATGAAGAAGACACTCTGGTGGTTCAGGCTGCAATTCTTTCCATCACATGACTTACCAGAAATCTCTCCCCACTCTTGCCACCTGCATTGGGAATAGGTTGGAAGAATTTACAAGTTGATATTCAACCTGTTCGGCTGTATTACCGATACATCTTCCTTGATCATTGAAGTCTAAATGTCAACAGTGCCACTAAGTGGAATGGAATATCACAGAGGGGATGGCATATAATTAATTACAGGAAAGTTCCTAGAATTAAGTGCCAGTCGGGCATTTTCCAGGTCCGAGGCAGACTTTCCCTGGGTCAAGGATTCTGGGACTAGATGTCCCACCTGCCAAGAGTTGCCAGTCAACTTTAGTACTGTTGAGCAATCAGAAAGAAGGGCTCACACATTCAAGCGTGTGATGATGGGAGTGGACTCAGGTGATGGTGAGGCCACGTTGGCACAGGCAGAGAGTGGGCAGCAAGGGAAAGAGGTAACACTGAGGAGGCTTCATCCCCAACCCTTTTCAGCCACAGAGGCCCTTGATCTGTCTGAGAAGGCATTTGAATGAAGGGGCAATATTTTTACACACAAATTCGTTTGTATGTGGGTTGAACTTCCAGAGGAAGTGGTACATGTGAGTACAGTTACAATGCTTAAAAGACATTTAGATAAGTAGATGAATGCAAACTGTTTGGAGGGGTATGGGCCAAGCGCGGGCAGGTGGGACTAGTTTACCTTAGGATTATGGTTGGCATGGACTGGCTGGACCGAAGGGTCTTGTTTCCATGCTGTATGACTCTGACTCTCTGACTCCCCTGGGAACTCAGGAGCGATCCTGACGGGGTTTATTTTACAGGGTTTACACGTGGCAAATGCCCCACCTGCTCCCAGGTGAATATCAGTGTTTGAACAGTGAGGCAGGAAAGCCATGGGCTTAATCAGTCCCCACCTATCAACAAAATGGCAACATGAATGACAGGCATCAATGTTATAGAGCCATTTTAATATACCTTTTGAGCAGTTTGATGAAACAATTTTGACATATGTCTGGAACTGAGATGCCATGTCAATTCCCTTGAATTGACAAACTATGTAGTTGAAAGGAGGCATATAGTTATAAAATACTCTAAATAAAAGTGTTTTTTTCACCATACAGGCTGCAGATAGGCCATCAAAATCCATTACATTCTGTTTCCTGCTTATTTTGTTGAGAGTAGTTTCAGATGGGCACGAAGTGAGCTCCTGACCCTTATAAACGAACAAGTAGAATTGAGCATTTTTAAAAGAAAATCTGCCCCCTACTGGAAGTGTACCGTGTTCTTTCTCTGAACAACAGGACAGAAAGTCCACTGTCTGTTGCCACTCCAACAACCTGTGCCTGTTTAACAGCAACACAGTTTTTTCAGAAAAATCTCTCTTGTACTCTATCTCGTTGAACCTGTACAATCTGGATGTACTCAGCCGATCAGGACCCCCAACCCATATTCTGCATCACTGAAGTATTCACCTGGCACAAATGCCATGAGTTGTTGCCAATTTTTTTTCTTGTTTTAGACCCACAAGAAACCTGACTTGATTGTTGACCAGCTGCTCAGCTTCACTAAGCAGCTATTTTCCAGCAATGATCACCTGGATTTTCAGCTGATTGAGAGGAATTTTTTCTTTAAAGCCAGAAGATTTATTCTTTCCTCTGAGAAGGCTGTCATAAATTTGGTTCTATCCCAACCTTCCCGTTGTAATTCCCCTTTTTGAGGTATTTTTGATATGTTGTAATATTTTTGGATGATCGGATGTGGAACAGAGACCAGCTCAGCTAGACTGGCTGCATAATGCTACATTTTGTGAAATTATTAGAGTCTGGGTTCTGAATGAACTATACTTGTATGTTGACTTTGCAAGTAAAATAACATGCACTTATATAGTGTATTTCGTAACCTTAGATTGTTCTAATAGACTACTTTTGAATGGTCTCTGGAGAGAGAAAGTAGAGTTAACATTTTGAGTCCAGTTATCCTTCTTCATAAACAATGACAGAAATTGCTGGAAAAGCTCAGCAGTAGATCTGGTGGCATTTATGGAGAGAAAGCAGAGCGACCCTTCAAGTGGATCTAAAATATTAACTCTACTGATTTTCTCCAGAAATTTCTGGTTTTAGTTTCAGACTTCCAGCCAGTGAAGTTCTCTGTTCTACTTCTGTTTTACCCTGTTTTAAAGTAGGAACACAGTAGCCACTTTGAACACAGTACTGTGGTAATAACCAAATTAGTTGCTTTAGTGATGTTGGCTGAGGACACTGTGGAGAAGGATTCTGTTGTTCTTTGAAATAGTGACATGTAGTTTTTAGACTATGTGAGAAGCTGACAGGACTTGAGTATTACAGCCTGGATATTCCAACAGTCAGAGAGCTGGGGGGGTCCACAGTCAGGACCCTGTGAAACCCCAGACACAGTAAACGTTGTGGGAATTGCCTGGGAACTTGAAGATTGTGATGGACAATTGATCTGTGCCTGGAAACCTCTAAAGGAATCCATTGGAGGTTCTGCTTCTGTTAAGGTAATAGTCACCAGTGAATTAAAAACTGAGTCTAACTCCTGAAAATCTGTTAAGCTGAGTCTCCGACTTACCACACACCAAACCAACTACGCTGACCCCCTTAATCCTGTGGAACCCCAATGAGCGCTCTTTTTTTCTCTCTCTCCAGCACATCAGAATCCCAACCCAAAAATGATTCCAAGCTCTTTGAACATTTTTTCGAACCCTGACATCACCTCACCCACTGACCTGAACCCCTGAGAACTAACATCAGCCCTCACCCCACCAGAACATCTGGGAGCCCCACACCCCTTGCCATCCTCAACACCCCACTTTCCCACCAGCCCTGACACTCCCATTGGCTGCCACACAGTCCCTCCCTCACCTACCCTAAGCACCCCATCACTTATTTTGTACCTCACCCGTCTGACACCCTAATCTCGCCATTAACTGGCACCCTCACCCCACATTTACCTTACATACTTATCCTTTCACAGCTACTAGCTGTGCTGCTGACCATTTAAATCTCAGAACATAACACACTGCTGTAAAAAGGGGTCATAATCTGAATTTCCCCAACTTATTCTGCTTGATGGGGTTACTGTGTTGATTTCAGGTACAATTTATATTTCAGAAGGAGCCCGGATTGGAATTCCCAGCTAGAAACGTGAAGCTCAGTGCCAGCAGGAAAAGAAAATGGAGGCAAAGTGGCAATCCAATTATGATTGCCACTCCATGGAATATCTGGGCCCAGGTTTTATCTCCAAGATGAAAGCTTTGATGAGGCAGCGTGCACTTTGTATGGCACTCAAGTGTCAGCCTAGTTTTATTTTGCTGAAGTCTCTGGTGTGGGACTTGAACTCATAACTTGCTGACTCAGAGCTGACGGTGCTATTAAGTGATCCACGTCTGACACACAAATAATGCAAAGTATATTCCTGAATTCCAAAATTTGCATTTCAATAACAGGATATGTTTATCCAAAAGTAACCAACATCAGCATGAGGCTGAATAAGTGTCTTTGGTTTAGCTTTCACAGGACCTAAGTCGTTTAAAAGAACACTATGAGAAGAAAATGAAAGAACTGGCAAATGCAGTGGGAAGTGTGGAACTTCAACAACTGAAGCAGAAACAAGAACGGAAGGTACTTTCTCCTTTTGGAGACTAGTGTTGAAATTGAACATGAGTTTATAGTATTGCTACCTTTGAAAAAATCAAGCAGGTTGGGTTTTTTTTAATGAATAAAATTACACATGCCTTTCAGAACTGAATTGTGCTTTATCAAAATTGGCACTTCATGGTTTATGAAAGGACCTGTGTTGAGTGTTTTCTGCATTTCATAGCTAGTGATAGTTTGAACTTTTTGTCCAAGTGTCACAATGCTCCCTCTAAGGATGAAATTTGCTCTTCCAGATGAATAGAATCCTACTGCTCTGATACTACTCAGTAGATTCCACAAATTCCTTTTCATTGTGTCGGTAAACACTAGCGCATTATTATGTTTCTTGCGTGATTGGATAGAAACTGAGAGAAACACTTGTATCCATTTAGCTTCATGTTTATTTTTGTGTTTACATTTGTCATATTGAAAAGCACTCAATATTGTAAGTTTGCAAAGGAAAATAGCTGGATATAGTATTTTTTAACAAGTTCTTTCTGAATTGCACATCAAATTTTGTTTAAAATAAGGCATGCAGTTAAAATACAATGAAACATGATCAATCAAAGTGTCCTGGTTTTTCAAACAAAATGTTAGGTACTTGACAGCTTGATACTCACCAGTTACTTAGTGATAAATAGAAAATATGTAATAATTGTAATATTTGGGAGGTCATTTGCAACATAAAACCGGGACTAATGAAAAGCAAAGTAATTGACGATGTTGGAAATTTGACATAGAGTCATAGAGCTGTACAGCATGGAAACAGATCATTCAGTCCAACTTGTTCATGCCGACCAGATATCTTATCTTATATTAATCTAGTCCCATTTGCCAGCATTTGGCCCATATTCCTCTTAAACCCTTCCAATTCATAAAGCCATCCAGATGCTTTTTAATTGTTGTAATTGTACCAGCTTCGACCACTTCCTCTGGCAGCTCATTCCATACATGCACCACCCTCTGCATGAAAACTTGTCCCTTAGTTCCCTTTTAAATCTTTCCCCTCTCATCTTAAACCTATGCCCTCTTGTTTTGGACTCTCCTACTCTGGAGAAAAGACTTTGAATATTCACCTTATCCATGTCCCTCATGATTTAAATGGAAAATGCTGGAATTGAGAGTTTTCGGCATCTATAAAGAGTAAGAGAAAGAAGAGTAAAAATTTTTGAGTGTAATCCTCCCTGAATGACAAGAAAGTTCTGTGTTGGCAGTAAAGAATATATAAGGAAGGGGGTTAAATATTCCACTCACCCAGGGCGACATAATGAATTGAATGACCTTCAGTATTAAACAATTAGATGCATTATCTATTATTTGGGGTAAATTCCTCACATGGAAATGCAAACGATATTGTTTAGGGAGAAAGTCACCATTTTTTTAGCTTGATTTATTATTGTCACATGCATGTATGTACAATGAAAAGTCTTTTGTTTTACGCGCAGTACAAGTAGATCTCCTCCCCACTAGGCAATTAAGTGTTGGCCAAGAAGGCCCACGGGTAAACACTTAAGGGACACAAATTTCTCTCCCTGTCTTTGGAAGCCTTCCGCAGGGACCGTTTCCTCTTGGCCACTCTGGTCCACTACTCCTCCAGCCCCGATATCTCCCCACACCCCCACAGCACCTTCCCTTGTATTTGCAGAAGGTTTAACACCTATCCGTTTACTTCCTTCCTTCTCAGTATCGAAGTCCCTGCACATATCTTCCAGGTGAAGCAGCACTTTAACTGCACTTCACTCAGTCTAGTCTTCTTTATTTGCTGCTCACAATGTAGTAGCCTCTAGGTTGAGGAGACTGGTTGACTGCTTTGCTTCTGTCTGTAAAAATGACCCTGAACTTCCAGGTGCCTCTCACATCAACACACCATTTCTGGTTCCCATTTCTGTCGCAGGCCTGCTGCAATGTTCCAGTAGGCCTCAGCACAAACTCAAAGGACGACATCATATTTTCCGTTTGGGGACCCTACAGACTCTAAGACTCAACGTTGAGTTCAGTGATTATTTATTTAGAGCCAGGTTATGACCTCCTGTGTTTTTTACCTACCCCCATACCCTGCTCCTTTACCTGGGTCCTGTTACAGTGATCAACTTTAGTAAAGGGTGTAATTTGTTAGTTACAAGGAAGCAGCAGGATTTCCTTAAAACAAAACGAAGAACTGCGGACGCTGGAGATCCGAAACACAAAAACAGAAATTGCTGGCAAAGCTCACCAGATTGGAAAAGTTCAGAACACAGACAAGAAGAAGGGTCACTGGACTGAAACAAATGTTGCTCTGCTTTCTCTCCACAGATGCTGCCTGACCTGCTGAGTGTCTCCAGCAATTTCTGTTCTTGTGCATGGCAGGATTTCCTTCTTGCCTCGTCCTATCATGTCATGTCATGTCATGGGTTGCTTTCAGCAGAGCCTACCCATTCTGTCCGACTCTTAGCCCTCATCTTCACTCATTCAGTTTCTCTCCTGTCCTGGCTTGCTATCAATAATCCCCTTGTCTGCCTACCCCTTGCTTATATCTCTTTTCTCTCTCATTCTCTCTGGGCTTTGTCTTCACCTCTTCCCCCAAACTTCTCTTCAATATAGCAGCTGGGAGAAAGTGGCATTTATTAGTTCTGATGCAGAGACACCTGACTGGAAATATTAACTCTGCTTTCTCTCCACAGATGCTGCCAGACCTGCCAAGTTTGTTCAGCAATATCTGTTTTCGACACAGTATTAAAAGATGCCATATGAATTCAAGCCCTTTGCATGTTAAAATTACACCAGCTCACGACTTTACAATATACTATTCCTGCTTATTTTACTATAAATCAATGATTACTCCTACTGTATAAAAGTAAGATTAACTTGCCCCGAGAAGAACATAAGAAAATAGGAGCAGGAGCAGACCATCTGGCCCTTTGAGCCCGTTCCGCCATTCAATAAGATCACGGCTGATCTTTTCATGGCCTCAGCTCCACTTACCCACTCTCTCACCATAACCTTTAATTCCTTTACTATTCAAATAATTATGTAACTTAGCTTTAAAAACAATCAATGAGGTAGCCTCAACTACTTCACTGGGCAGGAAATTCCACAGATTCACAACCCTTTAGCTGAAGAAGTTGCTCCTCAATTCAGCCCTAAATCTGCTGCCCCTAGTTTTGAGTCGATGCTCTCTTGTTCTACTATCACCCGCCAATGGAAACAACCTCCCTGCTTCTACCTTATCTATTCCCTTCATAATTTTACATGTTTCTATAAGATCCCCCCTCAATCTTCTAAATTACAATGAATATAATCTCAGCCTACTCACTCTTTCCTCATAAGGCAAATCTCTCAACTCTGGAATCAACCTAGTGAATCTCCTCTGCACTCTTTCCAGTGCCAGTACGTCCTTTCTCAAGTAAGGAGACCAAAACTGCATGCAGTACTCCAGGTATGGCCTCACCAGGACCCTATACAGCGGTAACATAACCCCCCTGCTTTTAAACTCAATCCCTCTAGCAATGAAGGACAAAATTCCATTTGCCGCCTTAATTACCTGTTGTACCTGCAAACCAACCTTATGCGATTGGTTCGTAGAATCCGTACAGTGTGGAAACAGGCCCTTCAGCCCAGCAAGTCCACACCAACCCTCCGAGCATCCCACCCAGACCCATCCCCCGTAACCCACTTAATCTGCACATCGCTGAACACTATGGGCAATTTATTTTTGGTCAATCCACCTAACCTGCACATCTTTGGACTGTGGGACGAAACCGGAGCACCAGGAGGAAACCCATGCGGACACGGGGAGAATGTGCAAACTCCATACAGACAGTTGCCCAAGGGTGGAATCAAACCCAGGTCCCTGGTGCTGTGATGCAGCAGTGCTAACCACTGAGCCACTGTGCCACCCCGATTCATGCACAAGGATACCCAGGTCCCTCTGCATAGCATCCTGCTGCAAATGTTTTACCTTTCAAATAATAGTCCTTTTATTGTTATTCCTACCAAAATGTATGACTTTACATTTATCAACATTGTACTGCATCTGCCAGACCTTTGCCCACTCACTCAAACTATCTATATCTCTCTACAAACTTTCAGAATCCTCTGCACACTTTGCTCTATCACTCATCTAAGTTTCACCAGCAAACTTTGACATGTGGTTCCCAACTCCAAACCATCAATGTAAGTTGTAAACAATTGCAGTTCCAACACTGATCCCTGAGACAAGACCCTAGTCACCGTTCGCCAACCAGAAAAGCACTCATTTTTCTGCACTCTTTGCTTCCTGTCAGTTAACCAATCTCCTCTCCATGCTAATAGACTGCTCATAACGCCACGTACCTTTATCTTAGACAGCAGCCTTTTATGCGGCACCTTGTCAAATGCCTTTTGGAAATCCAGATACACCACATCTACTTGGTCACTGTTGTCCACCATGCTCGTAATGTCTTATAGACTTCTAGTAAATTAGTTAAACCTGACCTACCTTTCATAAACCCACGCTGCATCTGCCCAATAGGATAATTTCTGTCTAGATGTCTTACTATTTCTTCCTTGATGGATTCAAGCATTTTCCCCCCTACAGATGTTACGCTAACCGGCCTATAATTCCCCATATTTTGTCTACCTCCTTTTTTAAACAGTGGAGTCACATTTGCTGTTTTCCAATCTGCTGAAACTGCCCCAGAGTCCAGCGAATTTTGGAAAATTATCACGAGCGCAGTCGCTATTTCTCCCTCCATCTCATTTTAGTATCCTGGGATGCATTCCATTAGGGACAGGAGACTTGTCTATCATTAGCTCCATGAGCTTGCCCAACACTACCTCTTTCGTGATAATGATCATTTTTAGGTCCTCACCTTCCTTTGTTTCCTTGTCATGAGTTACTGGCAAGTTATTCATCTTCTCCACTGTGAAGACCAACACAAAATACCTGTTCAATGCCTCAGTTATTTCCTCATTTCCCATTATTAAATCCCCCTTCTCATCCTCTAAAGGACCAATATTTACCTTAG